AATATTTTATTTGAAATATTAAATAGAAATTATTAATGGAATAATTTATATTAATATACTGTATTATAATAATGTAATATACTAATATAATATATTTTTAATGTACATTAGTCGACATATTGTTGACATTATCGACATCCTATTGACATAATAGGAAAAACTATATATGTTTTTTGGTTATTTGGACCGATTTGGCTGACATTTATGAAATATAGGAAATGTTGATCGAAATAATGTAATTTTTATATTACCATCCATTTTCATGTCGGTGAGCCTCGACATCGACATATGTCGGGTGACATTAGCGACATTTTGCGACATTTGAAACCATGCTTTTGGTTAAACTTGCTGCCATTACTTGTGGAGCTATGCTTTCACAGTCTCCTTTCTTCATATCGCTCTTGTTTGAACTCATGATGGTCAAGCTTTTCTCATTGCTAGTGCCTTACTCTGTTACTAATCTGCTCTATTTTTTTACCGTGATCCTCTTCCATCTTAACTAAGATCTCCTGTAACTTATTTGAGAGTAGCTTCCATCCTTTTCTCTCCCTACCCTTTGGCACACAAAGCAATTGTTTCTTGTTATCCAAGGTTTAAAATTTTGACACGATACACCAAATACAGGGCATATCATATCATATCTTTGGAAATTCAATATGAGATATGGTGGCAAATAGGTGGTATTGTCTTTTTTTCCACCGTATCGGACCCATATTGAACCATACATGATTCAGTAGCGTATCGGGTGTCGATATATGCTACGAAGAAGATATAGACAAAAAATGAAAAAGAAAAGGGGGAAAGAAGGTTTCTTTCCCTTGAAATAAGCCTTCTTTCACCCCCAAACGACTTTAAAACTCCAAACTTCGTTCCTAGAGTTCTAGATTTGCAAAAAAAGAAACACAAGGAACAAGTGTGAATCATCAAGGATTTTGAAGATTTTCAAGTTTTGAAAAATGTTGCAAAAATAGGTAAGTTTTTTTTTTTTAATTTTTTTCATAATATCTTGTGATTTTATTTTTAAATCTATGTTTAAAGGAAGGTAAAATCCATCATATGGATGGCCGAACCATGTTAGATGGTCAGGCAAAATTTCAAAAATTTCTTGCAACCTTCTGGGAATCATATTCCCAGTTTTAGAAAAACTGCATTTTTCAAGGATCGTTCTTGCACCGAAATCAGACCAGATCTGAAACCAAAAGGGAGAAGAATACTTGATACAGATTCCACAAATGTAGCTCCCAAAGTGGTAGTTCATGCCCAAACTGAATCCCAAAACCAACTTCCACTGAAGATGGCGCAGCTTGAATTGAAGCCGGTTAAGCAAAACTGCAATCCAACTCCTTGGATCGAACAAGGGAGGTGGGCACGAATTCTCTGTATTTTTCTTGCAAAAATCAGACGAGGAATTGATCAAGATCAGTCCAAGAAGTGTAGGTTGAATTAGGGTTTCTGGGGCAGCAAGAGCAGAGAGAGAACTGAGAGCAGATGTGTAACTGGAGCAGCTCGATCCTTTTTTTATAAGCCTTAAGTAGCACCTCTCCTAATCGAATTAGGAGCTTCCTAATCCACATCTTTATTTGGATTTGGACTCTCTAAGTGGACCACTTATCCTCTTATCTTAATGGGTGCTCCATACCCTTATCCATACCCAGATTTGCCCAAGGCACATGACTGCTTAAGCTATCATGTGACACCCTGATTAATCCAATTAATCATGGGCTTTAGGCCCATTAAGCAAGTAGCTCACGTTCCTATGTAGTTGTTGGCCCATTTAGGTTCATTTTGTATGGCGTGGGACCCCAACAATGACCTTACATAAGCCCATATGGGTTCGACCCATCCTTGGTGAAAAGGTTTGGCCAAATTCACTATCAAACACAGTGAACCCCTGAGTCAATCAATATGGGCTCTTAATGGGCTCAACATTTACATCAAATGATCCTTGAGTCCAGCCATCCTATGAAGCCCAAGGATAATGAACTTAAGATATAGCCCATCAGGTAAAACAACCCTCAATGTTCTCTTACACTTAACCTCTCAGCCCTTAATGATCAAACACTGCCCGACAGGGAAGGACCTCTCCCCTGGTTGCAAGGTGCAGTGTTGCATTCTCTACTCGGATGGATCCTGGGAATTAAAACCTTTTGCAAACCCTTTTTCATAAAACATAGTATATATATTATCATATAAATATATTTTGCAAAACAAATCTCAAACACAGTTGAAATCGGCTGTCGACAATTTTGGTTTCCATCAAAGAGAGTGCAGTCCCGATCATTCACTTTGTCCGACAAAGGGACTGATCTGCCGCTATGATCACCCACTCGAGTGAATTCTCAGACTGCCCCAACATACCCAGGATCCATCCGAGCCCACCAGGGTCCAAGATATCTCAGACTGCCCCAACATACCCAATTCGACACCCAGTGCAGCACCATAATTGAGTCTAGGGGTTGTGTGTAACTTTCCAGTGCCCACCAGTCTCCAAGGTTCAGGGCATAACTAGAAAATGGTCCGGGTTCATTGTTTCAAACAAACACACACTTCATGTGTTGTGGATGCATTCGTGGGAAGAATTACCGCCGTCGGCAGCAGTAGAGAGGGGGGCCCACACAACAGCTTATCTTGCCACATCAGCTCTTCTTGCCAGCTTGCCAATAGATTACTTATTCCAGTTCTGTTCTTACTTATCTATTAGAGATAGGAACTGAGTTCTGTTAGAAATCTGTTAGAAGTAGGAGTTCTGTTCTTACTTATCTATTAGAGATAAGAACTGAGTTCTGTTAGAAGCCTGTTAGAAGTAGGAGTTTGATTTAAAGTTGGATTGTCCATCTAAATGAGCCTTTTGTTCCAGTTGCTAGTGACCTTGCCCCTTCTGTAATATCTTGGACCCTATGGTCAATCTAACTAAGGTCTCATGCATTCAAATCACTACCATCAAGTGGAGATTTTGCCTTTACTACAAGGTTTGAAAGTAGGGTAGTTGTTGCTCTTGGGATTCTAGAAGTGGAAGGGTTGTGATGTCATGCAATCTGGAAGCTCTCTCATGTCTAATGACTCAGACTCTGATTCAAATATTCCCTGGTCAAGGCCGAGTTGAAAGTTGGTCGAGCTGAAGTGTGCTGCCAGAGAAGGAGAATTAGAGTGCCCAGGTGTCTTTTACCTGGGGAGGGCACTCCGATGCTTAAGTCAGGAGTTGTTTGAGGATTCTTTGAGAGATTGAGAGAGCTAGATAGTATTTAGTCGCGCGTACCTTTTTAGGTAGAAGTGAGTGCCTTATATAGGTACCAGTGGTCAGAACCCTCTTGTAACGGGCTTGAGTTTCTTGCGGAACTATTTCTGCTTGGTTAAACGCGTTAATGTGCCGGTTGCGAGATCTGCATGGGGGTTATGATCTACTCGAGTAACCCCGAGGTGTGCGATGCGGTAGGCCGGTCTAACTGTTGAGATATCAGCGCTTCGGGGATCTCGGCTTGGTAGCGTATTGCAAGGAGTGGCTAGMGAGCTCTTCCTTGTAGGTCGCCTTGGACTCCTACAGCTCGACAGGCTCCTAGGACAGGTCGCCGTAATCTTACGGGGTCTACTAGTTCGGCCTTGCCGAGGTGGAAGTCGGCTTGGATGAGGTGCTTTGAGCTAACTTGCCGAGATGATTCACTTACTCAGCACTGAGGTGTCATCCGAAGGCCACGTGTCGCTATATGATTGGGAGGACCAAATTACCCCTCATTAGGTTGCATCGAAGAGCTGCAAACATGGTAGTTTCAAAATCATCTCCTTTTTTTGTTGCATTAGGTATGCCAACATGCCAGTGGTAGATTGGACCAGTTATAGTGCTTTCTGATTCTATGATTTATTGTCCTTTGCCCCAACCAAGTACATACCAGTGGCACCTGACAAAATAACAATGTGGAGCAACTGGAACTTATATTCTGTTGAACTTAGTTTCTTCCTTTGTGGTTCATTGTCAATTTGTTAGCTTCTCTTTCTTTTGAGGCTACGTTTAGTATATTATGCTTCTTTCCTTTATGTGTAACTAACAATTAATTTTCAGATTGCACACCAACCGAGCATATATGTTCTGGATACACCTGGTATATTAGTCCCAAGTATCCCAGATATAGAGACAGGCTTAAAGCTAGCTTTGACAGGTATAATAATCCTCTTTCAATGTAAATTATTCCTTCATCTACTTGCCAGCATATTTCTATGGTCTGTATGAACATGTGTTTCTTCTGAAATGAGTTTCACTTGTATGACTCTTTGAGGAAATGCATTTTGTTTCCACAAGAAGATTGCCTCTCAAGTTAAAGACGCTTGTTGTTTTTCTTTCTGACTATGTTTAACTTATAGTTGTGTTTACTGCATTCGTTGCTGTCCTTGTTTGGGCTATAGTTTGGAGCATGCACAGCAGGTGGATTGGGTTGGGCCCTATCAGAATATATCTGAAAATTGAAATTCTTTTAATTACTCATTAGATAGTAACTAGAACATTTCTTTGACTGAAGGTATGGGTTATGCCAAATAAATAAGCTTTCTTCATCTTCTGGTGAATCAGACCTCATGCATGCTCTTTATGTTTTGATTAGCCTTGATAAGTTTGGATAACTGGCTAGATTCCTAGGGGTGGGGTGGGGGACAGTACTTCATTACTAATATGTTGCAATATGAAATGACTGAACAAATAAAAAAACCATTAGCTAGTCTTAATATGGAATGATGTCTGCACTTTGGAGAAGAGTTGGAATTTCAGATGCTATTGCACTCCCTGCTTTAGAAAGGTTATTATTGAGTGTCCTTGGAGTGAATGGTAGAAGTTATATTATTAACTTGGGCTGCTAAACCTCATAAGCATAAGAATGCAGGTCCTAGTCTGAGAGAGGCCACTTTGTGCAAAAGAAAAAAAAAAAAA